AAAAAAAAAAAAAAGGACAAGCAGAGTCTAGTTTCAAAAACCACCTTGCAAGGTGTTGATTTAGTCTTTAAAGTATTAACATGGATGATAATTGGTTCCTGGATTAAGCCATCATGGTATTATTAGACACTAAAACTGTGCAAGATAATGGTATTATTACTTTGTGATCTTCAGATACCTAGAAGTAATGTTTTCTGAGCACTAAAGAAAGCATAATTACTATTTTCAGGTGGCATTCGTAAGATGAAATTGAGCAGCTGTTGAAAATTTAAAGCAATGCTGATATTAGCTGATATCATCAGTCACAGGTGAAACAGATGTGAAAGTAAAGTCCTGAGTTTTGAGAACTGATGCACCCTTCACAGTATAAAGCGCACATTCTGATGTAGCTTAACTATTAACAGCTTTTCAGGACACTTGGAGATAGCAGGCCTTTGGTCTTCAGGCTTCACGCTGTCCCTGAGATATGGTAATATTTGACAGCATCCCCTTGTCTTGTCATAATGTATTGCAGAATTGACGTTGAGTGTTATGTCTTACTCCAAATACCACAGAATGGCAAGTCCAGCAGCAAGCAGTAGCATGTTCAGTTAAGTAAAAAGGTATTTGTTTAAACTTGTTCCACACAAATAAAGGCAGAGCACTCAAAACTGGTGGAGGATGGTGCATTGTGTATTTTATCAAGATACTGTGTGAGAATTTCAGTCATACATGTAGCACAAAGAAAAATCTAGAAAAGGATATTGAGGCAGCATGAAAATCAAAGTGATTAACTGTGTTCTTTTGTGTTTGTGGTCTTCTATAGCTGTGTCCTCAGTACTGGCCAGAAAATGGAGTACACCGACACGGTCCTATTCAGGTGGAGTTTGTATCAGCTGATTTAGAAGAAGACATAATCAGCCGGATATTCCGAATTTATAATGCAGCCAGAGTAAGGATGTTATTTGCAAAACAGTTTTGTCTCAGTAGATGAGTTGACTCTACTCAAATCACAAAAAGTGAAAGTTAAACTCACAAACCATTCTCATTTTTCAGCTTATTTACTTGAAAGCAATACTGAGTCACAGCATAATCAATGAGAAAAAAGCCTTCTATGTGTAATTAAAGTAAAAGATATTTTAATGCATATCTCAAGTGTGTTAAATGCAAATGAAATAAATGCAATATTCAGATAGTATGGTAGCCACGAAATGCCAAAATCAGCGCTGTTTTCAACAGTTTGAAATTAACCATCTTACATGTTTGTATCATGTGTCCTGCGAAGAAAGCTGTGCACCAGTACCAGGCATGTTTTTCAATACCAATTCCAGGCTTTTAGTGAATATCCTGTCCCACTAATCACACTTCATAATATATGTAAGCACTTCAGAACAACGAGTGCCATCTCGTATCCAGCTTTTATGCTCCCATAAAGTTGACAGAAGACTAAACAAGGTGTGGTGTTCAAGCTGAGTGGAAAAAAGGTTCTGCCACAGCCCAGACATCTCTTCCCATCCAGAGGGAGGGAGCTTTTGCAGCACTATCTCCAGCAGCGTTAATGTGAGCTTTAGCAGGCACTGAGTCTGGCTGATGTGCTGCTTTAGGAAGAGGGGCCATCAGCTGAAAGAAACTGGCCAGGAAATCAGTAGATTCCAAACTTTGACATAAAGCAGAGAAAACCCATTGAAGAACATATCTAATGCTGTACCCACTTTGGTTTATTCCCTTATCTTGTTAATCTTACATCCTCTCTATTACTTCTTACTCTAGAGAAAAAAATTGTAATGGCAACATTTCTGTGATGCTCATTTTAAAAGTGGCAGTAAAATGCCCTTACTTTGCACAGAAGTGAAAGTGGCAAATCCTAGACTACAAAAACAGTTTTCATGTGTGTATTTATTATGCTTTTTTCAAAGGACTGTAATTTTCTGCCACTAACACTTGTGCTGTGCTCCTTTTTTATTTTAAATCACCATAAAGCAACTGTTCAGTAACGTTTCACCAGAGGGGTTCTGACTGCTGCAGTAGCACACAATAAAATAAAATGTAGTTAGATTTTTTATAAGCCAGAAAAATATGAGTGTTTCATTTGTTTTTTTAAATGTTTCCTGCTTCAAAATATCGTGAGAGGTTTTGGCTTTTCTTGTAAAAAGAGACAGAAGCACACAAACATTCTTCAAATACTGAAGCATATGAAAAAATAAAGGCATATAATTGAAGCTGTGTTGCAGCTTCCTCCTTACTACTAAGTTCCTGCTATGATATTAATTAATTATTTGTTTGATCCTGCAGCTGTACCATTGCTCTATTCTAGTCTATTTGTATAGCACTCTGTTTAAAACCTCTTGTACTAATAACTCTGTTGGAAATTAAAAGTCGTAACTCCTCAAGGGCAGTTGAAATTACATTAGTAGTTTGTCAGCAGTGATCTGCCTGAACAACTTTCCTCATTGATGCAAATATCTAAAATATGCACCCAAAAAAATGCTATTACTTTTTCCTGCTTGTTGTCTGAATCTCTACAGCCCCAAGATGGCTATCGGATGGTGCAGCAGTTCCAATTCCTGGGATGGCCCATGTACAGAGACACTCCTGTTTCTAAACGCTCCTTCTTGAAGCTCATCCGCCAAGTGGACAAGTGGCAGGAAGAATATAACGGGGGGGAGGGACGCACAGTTGTACATTGTTTGTAAGTACTGGAAGCAGAAGAGAGGAAGGAAGGGAATACTGTTACAGAATTTGTGCCAGGTATTAAAAAATTTGTGAAGAGGTGAAGAGGCTATCCAATCTGGAACTGGATAAATAATATAACTGCTCATTTAAAAGCTTTGAACACAAGAGGAATTGTGTAACTCTTGCAAATGGAAAAGGTGCATATTTACTCAGAGTAAATCAAAACTGTATCTTCAGAACAATGTACCTTTTATTTCTACATATAAGCACTCTAGAAATGAGTAGAATTGGAGGGGTGATTCCTCTTCCAGACATAAAGCACAGAAGAGTGGTGTGATAGACCAGTTACAATGATCCTGTAATTGCCTTACTTTTCTCTAATCATGGTATATATTTTTGTCCTCCTGTGACCTCCGTGCTCTGCTGGTGCAGGCTGTCATCCACCATCCTCCTTTTGATATGGCTTCATACTTGTACATGCTGTTTGCCATCAGCAGCAGTTGATCTTTCGAAACCAAGTCTTCAGTGCTATAAGTTGTATCCCTCTTCCTCTAAACATCTGCTTAAAGATGCTGCCATGATGGGGAATGGACACGCTGATGGGAAAAGCACATGCTAATGCACTTTCAGAAGTTAGGAACCAAGAGCAGACAATAACTTCCTGAAGTTTGGTTTGCAGTTACTGAATGTTAGAACGATGGAGGAAAATCTAAGAGTGTATTAACGATTCCCACTATCACTGACCTTGAACAAGTCACTACTCTTCAGTTTCCCCATCTGTAGAATGGGGATAACAATACTTCCATCAAAGGAGCATTGTGCAGTGTGATTAATTAATGTTTTGAGATCTTTAGCTGAAAAGACCCTTTTGAAGTGCAAATTACTGTTATCTCTGAGGTGGCTGATGATATTAAATAGTTGTACAACATCACACATGCGTCACTTCCAGGCAGTAAAGAAAGAAAAAAGCTCTAATATAATCCTTTTAAATTACTTTATTTTAATTAAAATTCTCAAAGAGTCCCACAATATCAGGCAATGTTTTGGCAGCAGAGAGCATTCTTTTCATACTGCCTGGATGTGACAGATGTGCGACATTGTAGCTTCCTTTGAAAATCAACCATTTGCGAAGCTGGTTTGAAAGACCCACTACCTAACTAGTCTGCACTCTGGTGATTATTAAGGTTTATTATTTTGAGCGAAGCGCAGCCTAAAGATTCTGATTAGAATAGCTGTAGAAATAATAGCGTTCCCAGAAAGAAAGAGATTCTCTTAAAGATTAAAAATAACTGGGGATAAAGTATTATTAAGCACTGCATTTGATCATGCATATGAACATTTGTGCTTGGCTTCTTTGTTAGCAAGTCGCTCAGGTTCTCACCCTCTGATACTGTGGGTGGAGGGGGAATACATGCACTTTCAAAAGTCGTCATCGCCAGGCAGCTGGCCCCTCTACCTGCTGCCGGGGACTGAGCACATCAGCCAGGGGAATATTGCAGCACCACCTAGTGCCATGCTAAAGGTGGAGCCACTAGAAGAGCTCCAAATGAGACTTTTGGCGCATTTGCAGTTCCTCCAAAACGCCTTTGGGTCCAGGAGGAAAACAAAAAGATCCACTTTCTCAATTAACATTTCCAGGCCTGGTGCTCATTTCAACCTCGTGTGCTTACAGTGCAAAGGGGTGTTGAGCTGAATCTAAAAGTACCTTGTCCTTATTTTAGCATCCTCTTTGTATTGGCTCAGGTTCATTGAAGGATGGTGCAAAACTCAGCCATTCATTTCCCTCCAGGCTTTCAGCCTGATGAATTCTGAATCATAGCTTTGAGATCGTTCAGCCCATTAATTCCAATTAAAAATCATGTTCTGCCTAGAGTTCAGCAGCCTTCAGGGGCAGGATGTTCTGTGGTTTCTCCCTACTGGAACTCATGCCTTCTGTAGCCATCCCTGGTGCTGTGTGAACTTGTAACATAGAGTCAGTTGTAACTGAGCTGTTTTGTCACTTTTATTGTAGGAATGGAGGTGGCCGCAGTGGGACATTTTGTGCAATCAGTATTGTTTGTGAAATGCTTCGACATCAGAGGGCTGTTGATGTATTCCATGCTGTGAAGACACTGAGGAATAATAAGCCTAACATGGTGGACCTTCTGGTATGAGCTTTTTAACTGCACCACTAAATAGAAAATAGGTTCCTTTTTCTCAGAAGACGCAGTAAGAATTCCAGGATTTGCAGTGGGAGTTGTTCACAAAGCAAGCAAGTCATTTTCAAAGGGGATAATGAAGTCACTTCACTTGTAAGAGTATTTTTACACTGCTTTCTTCCCAAGGAGACTTTGTCAGTGTTCATTTGAATTTTTTAAGAGTTTTAAATTTTCAGCCGAACATCCTTATTAATTTTCTTTTCTAGCAGGCTGAGCCAAGTGGAGAGCAGCCCTTGCATGGTAGAAATAATAGTTATGTAAAATGAAATGCCAGATTTTCAAATTATATATTTTATAAATAGCTTAATCGCCTAATATTTATCAAAGCCGTGAATTTCAGTTTGACATCCAGAATATTGCATTTAATTGTGGTTGCTCTATCTCATAGAAAGATTAAAGAAGTTCAGAAACAAGGGGCCATGTGCAATTATTTTCCTAGAGAGTGTTTTATGGCTTTTTTTTTTTTAAATGGAGAATTGCTGAAGTGCCAGCTGCTATGCCAGAAGAGCTGCAGAACAGCTTAAACCAGCAGGTTCTTACACTGCAGTGGGTAGTTCTGTACTTGGCAATGGGTGTAGCGTCACACCCTATTCTGAAGCCTGGGCTATAAAAGACACTGTTTTACAACATCCTGCTGTAGAGGTGGCTGCTTAAGAGGCAGCTATATTTGATTTAGCATCATAGGCAGGAGGAAGCAGCATCTGGGAAGCTTCAGGGACGCTAAACCAGTCTGAGCTAATTTATCAAGCTCTGGTTAAAAAAGTTTGAGTCATATTTTAACATCTTTTCTACTGAGTGCCCAGGGTGAAGCAGGAGGCATTTCGCAGAGCTGGTCCAGCCTCTTGTAATTTTAGGAGAGATCCCCCTCTCAGATGAGCTACCAAGATCTGGGTATGAAACGCGCTTGAGAATGGACAGAAAGCAGGAATTTCTGTTGGGAAGAGTGAGGCTTTCAGGCATATGTGTAGGGTTATCCATGTCCCCACCACATGTATCATTGCACCTCATCTGACCCATAGAGAGAACCACTCCCACCACATTCTCCATTGCAGTGCTCTCATCTAGCCTAACTGTGAAGCCCCAGACCCTCCCCGCAGCCCTGCTCTGGCCAGGCTCATGGAAAAAAGCCAGATGTTCCCAGCTGTGCAAAGCAAGGACAGAGTCACAGGGCTGTGAGCCAGCAATGTGGAACTGTGAATCTTGTATCATTGAGAAACTGTCAAGCTTTCACAGTGGTGGAAGGGAGCAGCTTAGTTGGCTCCTCTTCCTCTAGTTTATATTCTCAGGAGGAGAATTATCATGCTGAGAACCATACATCTTTATTTCCTGGATATTAAGAAGAATGTCCTACTTCTTCATTCAGATAGTATAGTTTGGATGGAGAGTTGGCAGGCCTGCTGTTCTCCATTCTCCCACAGAAGTCACTGGGCTCTTATTAATTTATTTTATAGAAGTAAGAAGAAAATTACCAGTGTGAAGATGTACAGTTGAAGAAAATGTTCTCTATAAATTCCTGTTTGTGACAGTCCTCCAGGTATAGATTTGTCAGGCAGCCATCTCCATTTTTCGGCAGAGAATTTTTTTGTTCAAAAGCTAAATGTCTAATTTCAGGATATAAAAATAGCTTTTAGTGAATTGAGGATGGTATTGAGAATGTCTGCATGGCACTGAGAAGCTTTGTAAAGCCTTTTCATTAGGAGTCTTCAAAGCACTCGTGAAGGAGGTCAGTATTGCTTTCCTTATTTTACGGTCAGAGGAACAAAGGCAGGGGATGATCAGGATTTCTCCCATTATCACGTAATTCACTGGCAAAACAGAGTTAGAACCACATCTCTTCGTTCACGTTCTTCTACTTTGTAGGAACAAATATTTGAAATAGCCAGGTTTCAATTTCCATGTAGATTGTTTCATGGTACAAGGGAGTTGGGACAACTGAGTTCTTTTCCTGATCCTGTTACTGACTTCATCCTTTATGATCTTTCTTATAGTAATGTGTCTTTGCCTCAGTTTCCATATCTAAAAAATGAGAACAATAATATTCATCTACCTTTGTAAAATTCTGTGATAAAAGATGAAATGCTCAGAATTATAACAGTATTTCACAAAAAAGTTTCAAGACTGCTTTATCAATACCTGGCTTTTCTGACCAGATGAAGGGCAATCTTTACGGCCCACACATAGAGATTCATCTCTTAAATTCACTGAAACCTTTGGTTTTCCTGCAAGTGTAAAAATCAGAATGCCATATCCATACAGTATGGTAATCTATTAAATTATTCAGGCATCATACAAAGGGAACACGTGATATTACAAAATGTCTATTACAGAATGCCCAAAGCATTTTCTGGTAAATGTTACTGGACCTACAAATAGGTATCCTAGAAAAAAAAAAAAAAATCAATATACCTCTCTGAAGCTAGCTAATGTAAAGAGACTCTCAATATCCACCATCAAGTGAATAATAAAAATGTACAAAGGACACACATGAGTGAACACAGTGGGAAATAATATATGTCTGCTCTTTAAGACAGGTATTTGGTTTACTAAAAATGACAGCTATTCTGCTGGATCAGTAAATCAGCATAAAATGAGCACGGAAAAATGGAAATGGATGAGCCACTGATCTCTTATTTTGATCTGTTATGTAGTTATAGAATAATTTTCATTTATTTAGAAACATATATGCAATAAAAGCATAATAGGAATAATTTACATAATACTCCTTTCTTTCCTTTCTTCTTTTTTATTCTTCTCGTGAAGAAGACGCAAGCAGTTTATGGAACACTGCAGGATCTTAAAACATCATATACAACTCATTCATAACTTAGGTGATATATGCACCTAAGATTTGTTTTCTTTTGAAGTGACAGCTCCCAACAAAAGAACTTAGAAATTGTCTGTGCTTGTTAATGGCTTTTTGATTGTTGTAATATTACTTGGTCTCTTACATGTTAAGGTGGACTCTCTTCTCAACTCAACAAAAGAGTTAATCCTTTAAAATATTTCCTTCAATGAAAAGGGGAATATATCTGAAGTGTGCTTGTAATCTTCCTACTTGTGATGTTGGGAAGGTGAAGGTTGACTGCTGTCAGCTAGACACATCTATTGTTTTTCCTGTATGATAGTATATGTTTAGTTATCTTTTATTAATTGATTAAAGTGCATAAGAGAAAGAGGCATTTCAGTGGCAGAAATAGTGATAAAACTGGCAGGTATTTCCAAACTGAATTTTTAGAAGCCAGAGCCCTTGGATTCAGGGAACCCGCACCTACTCTTTCAGCTTTTTTGTTTCATTTAAATGTTTGTAGCATTGCTAAATATTGTGAGTAGCAAGAATGACAACAGAAGAGGGATATGTGTGCACACACAAAACTGTGAAGTCATCAGTGACTGCATCATTTAAAGTTGCAGAGTGGGCGAGGATCAGTCAAAAACACTGGCCCCTCTGTACTGCTGAAGATGTGAAGTGGGTGAAGTCAAAACCCTTAGTCTCTGAAGGATGCAGCATGGGTTTGCATGCCACGGGACCCTAGGATCGCCCTGTTTCCAAGCAGTTGCAAATACAACCAACTGGTTTGTGTTTGAAGCACAGGGCTGGCACCTGAAAACTTAGCATGGGTAACAGAAGAGCTGTTAAGAGCCTAACTTACGCATCGTCATTAATTGCTAAAAATTAATTAGAATTAATCCAATTAATTTAGCTCAGGCCTGATCTCACAGGCCTGTTGCACCAGGAGAGGACAGTATTTTGGCATGGGTTTGGGCTGCATGTAGAGGAGGAACAGTAAGCAGTTCTTGCCCCAAGATGTAGCAAGTGTATGAATGACATTAAAATAAAAGTTAGGGTCTGGGAAGTACTAGACACTAGGTCTATTTTAAGAGAAACATTTCCAGGGAGGAATTTCAATAGCTCCAATTCTGATAAAATGCTACATGAGCATTTTGACAGATGACAGAAGGGTTGCAAGTCAGTTTGCTTACATGTAGTCAATTTTTCTCATACAAGTGTGTTAGAGCAGCTAAATACGCATCTAATCTGAGCAGTACTGTAAGTTACTGTGTGTAGTGTCTTTCATCTGGTTAATATAAAGATTTTATTCTCTGAATATACTTTGGATTTGCAAACTGGTTCCCACTGACAACAGCTGATAGTAAATAATTTTAACAGGTGAGAAATATTGATCCCCTTAATTAAGTTCCTTCAATAACTGACTTTATGGTTTTCTTTTGATTTCTCAGGATCAATACAAATTCTGCTATGAAGTGGCTCTGGAATACTTGAATTCTGTCTGATTGCATAAACAGCACAAAGTTCCTCCTTTCACCACCACAAACAAAGCAAGTCACTTCATGATATCTGTGTAAAATGAGATGAAGACTTCTCAATGTTATGCTTACACTGCTTTGTATAATCGGCTCTTTTTAAGAGCCCAAAAAGATGTTTATAAAACTGCTTGCACTGCCCGTTTTACACTATAATGCCGCTGCTTGACACCCATATGAACGTACACCAAACCACGTGGCAGTTGTTGAACACTGTATTCATACATAGCCATTGATGTGGTGAAGCAGCATAGTCCTATGGTAAATAAGAGAGCACAATTATATTCTTATGAAGGAATTTGTACTTTTCTGTTACATTTCATTGCCTGCGATTCTCGGTTATTGTCACAGCCTAGTGTACATTTCTGTTCTGTGGAGAATGCTGTCTACTATTTTGATAATATATGATTTTAGTTATATTTGTATTCTAACACGTGCATAATAAATGAATCATATGTAGCTTATCTGAACTAATGGAAAGACCTGTACCAAATCATGTTAACTTTGTTGAGTTGTAGTTTCTATCCATTTTGTACCATTTCAGAGAGAGAATCTTGACTGATAGAAATACAGCTAGAAAATGCAAAATACAGGATGCTCAGATTAATATATCCAAAGCTTTTTCATTTGTTTATATTGTAAATATTTTTTGATTTCATCAAATTATTTATTCATTAAAATGAATTTTTTTGTGAAGCACAGTGAGTGACAATCATTTTTATTAAGCCCTGGAAATGCTTACTGTATGATAGTGTAAACATTTGTTTACCTTGTATGGATTCTCAGCTCAATAAATAATTACATACATGATAAAATCTCGTTTAATTTAATATCTCTTGGCATCTGAGTGCCTTCAGCTAAGCATCTTTTCAGCTTAATTCTTGTAAATATTGAGCTACCTCCAGAGCATGTTTATTGTGTGATCCAGTGTTGATCCAGCCAATAGCCAGATGTGCCATGCCAATATATAAAAAGAGGTGAATTCTATGTTTAAAAACATTCTTCAAGAAAGAAATATTAAAGATGCAGGATCAGGCCATCCCCATGTGCTGAAAGACGAACCGGCAGGGAGGAAGACCGGCCTGGCTGAACAAAGAGCTTTGGCCGGAACTCACAGGATAAAAGGAGAGTTTATGACCTTTGGAAGAAGGAGCAGGCAGCTCTGAAGGACTACAAGGATGTTGTGAGGCTACGCAGGGAGAAAATTAGAAGGGCCAAAGCCCAGCTAGAACTTAATCTGTCTCCTGCAGTTGCAGACAATAAAAAATGTTTCTATAAATACATCAGCAACAAAAGGAGAGCTAAGGAGAATCTCCATCCTTTATCAAATGTGGAGGGAAACAGTGACAAAGGATGAGGAAGAGGCTGAGGTACTTAATGCCTTCTTTGCCTCAGCTTTTTCCTTATCCTTTGTCACTATGTTAGTGACCTTCTACACCACTTAGACACACACAAGTCTATGGGGCCAGATGGGATCCACCCAAGGGTACTGAGTAGAAGTGCTCACCAAGCCACTTTCCATCATTTATCATCAGTCCCAGTTGAACAGAGGTTAGCAAATGTGACGCCCATCTGTAAGAAGGGCTGGAAGGAGGATCTGGGGAACTACAGGCCTGTCAGTCTGACCATGGTGCTGGGGAAGGTTACGGAACAGATGATCTTGAGTGCCATCATATGGCATGTACAAGATAACCAGGTGATCAGACCCAGCCAGCCTGGGTTTACAAAAGGCAGGTCCTGCTTCACTAACCTGATCTCCTTCTGTGACAAGGTGACCTGCTTAGTGGATGAGGGAAAGGCTGTGGATGATGTCTGCCTTGATTTTAGTAAAGCCTTTGACGCCATTTCTCATAGCATTCTCCCAGAGAAATTGACTGCTCATGGCTTGGATGGGCATACTGTCTGCTGGCTAAAAAACTAGACAGATGGCCGGGCCCAAAGAGTTGTGGTGAATGGAGTTAAATCCAGTTGGCAGTTGGTCACAAGTGGTGTTCCCCAGGGCTCAGTGTTGAGGGCAGTTCTGCTTAATATCTTTATCAATGATCTGGACAAGGGGATCGAGCACACCCTCAGTTAGTTTGCAGACAACACCAAGTTGTGGGGGAGTGTTGATCTGCTTGAAGGCAGGAAGCCTCTACAGAGGGATCTGGACAGGCTGGATCAACGGGCCAAGGCCAATTGTATGAGATTCAACAATGCCAAGTGTCAGGTCCTGCACTTGGGTCACAACAACCCTCTGCAATGATCCAGGCTTGGGGAAGAGTGGCTGGAAAGCTGCCTGGTGGAAAAGGATCTGGGGGTTTGTTGGCCAACAGCAGGCTGAACATGAGCTGGCAGTGTGCCTAGGTGGCCAAGAAGGCCAAGAGCATCCTAGCTTGTATCAGAAATAGTGTGGCCAGCAGGACTGGGAATGCGATCGCCTCCCTTATTCGGCACTGGTGAGGCTGCACCTTGAATACTGTGTTCAGTTTTGGGCCCCTCACTACAAGAAAGACATTGAGGAGCTGGCCCTCACTACAAGAAAGACATTGAGGTGCTGGAGCAGGTCCAAAGAAGAAGCTGGTGAAGGGTCTAGAGCACAAGACTTATTGAGGAGCGGCTGAGGGAACTGGGGTTGTTCAGCCTGGAGAAAAGGAGGCTCAGGGGAGACCTTATGTCGCTCTCTACAACTACCTGAAAGGAGGTTGTAGTAAGGCAGGTGTCAGTCTCTCTTTCCAAGTACGAGCAATAGAATGAGAGGAAATGGCCTCAAGTTGCACCAGGGGAGGTTTAGATTGGATATTAGGAAAAATGTCTTCCATCAAAAGGGTTATCAAGCACTGTAACAGGCTGCCCAGGGAAGTGGTTGGGTCACCGTCCCTGGAGGGATTTAAAAGAGGTGTAGATGTGGCACTTGAGGACATGGTTTAGTAGTGGACTTGGCAGTGTTAGGTTTACGGTTGGACTTGATGATCTTAAGGATATTTTCCAACCTAAACAGTTCTGATTCTATGAAAACAGCAGTGGCAGCCATTTCAAGTGTTCATAAACCAACTTCCCTTCTCAGAAGAAAGTTACACAATTACAAGTCCATTACAGCTGCAGAACTTATGGAGAGATCAGTCCTAGTTTGGGAGGAACAGAGGAAGGGATGTTTTCTTCAATCCCCAGTATGTAAGAGGTACATAAATGAATAAAGAGATACTTTAAATGGTTAGCCATATGTATCACCCAACTCATCATCTCTCTGCGACTTGAGGTAGATGATTTCTGCTAAGCTGTTCTGAAAGAGCAGCAATGGGGATGGTGAGACAGGTGATTGCATGCAGGTAATCTGTATCTTTTTAACAGCAACAGTCCTGATGTCTTCCTGGGCTGCTTTATCAGCAAAATGAGTCTGGCACTGGCAGGGTAGCTTCACAAGTACTAACCCAAAGCTCAAGGACTACATATAGTAAGATTAAAAAAATAAAGCATAGAAAAGAACTTCCTATGAGGCTGCATGCAGTGTGGCTCCAAAGGGTCTCTGTGCCACAAAGACTTGATCTGAAGGTGCTATGCAGCATCAAGACCACATTCATTCTGGATTTCTCCTTCGGCTGGTTGGGGCTCATCTTTAATATCTCTGAAATGTTTGCTTCTCGTTTCACTGCTTGTAGGTGTTCCCCAAGGTCTAACTGCTTACAGGATATGCCCCTTGTCAGTCAACACTGGCCCTTTAATAGTGTGTAGCAAAGACACAAATAGATTTTTCTTCTTTGAGGTGTGTCAATGAAGATAAATTGACACTTCCAGAAGCAGCTATTCTAGGCAGCTTCCTTCGGGGAGGCTTGGAGGGGCTGTAATGGTAGCAGCAAACCTAAAGCCCCTTGGCATTTACTCACTCCAAAATACTCACAGCAACATCAGCTGCTGAGTCTCCTTTCCCTTGTGGTTGTTTTGTGTCTCCCCCCTCCAAATCAAGGATGACTAAAGGAAAGTAAGTGATTTGAAAGTTTACTTGAGGTTTTACGGCCTCATTAGTTTTCTGATTCAAAGATAATTTGGTTGCTCTGCCTCCCAGAGTAACTTCTCCAAGCAGTTGTGCATTTGTCTTCAGAAACAGCAAGGTATGTAGGCAGATCACTGTAACAGAGTGATTCATCATATAATTTTACATTTATTGTTGGTGTTACACTTATTTTATCAACTTGGAGCCTTGGACTACAAAATCTCATTGCAGCCCATATCTGATGCCAGACAGTCGGCTTTACTGAAAGAGAAATTAGGTATAGAAGAAAAATGTACAGCTTAGTTCTGTTGTTTGGTGCTTGTTAAGAAAGCCAATGACCACTGTCATTTTTGGGGAAGAGTACCAGTAAAACCCAACAGACCAGGTGAAAAATAACACTGTTTCTATTGGAGCTCATTTGTTTGTTTTTTCATAGCCTAGACCTCATCCATACGGTAAAATTATAAACTGATAGGTGCATTTCCATTGCCTCAGCCATTCATATGCTGTGCCTGTGGGAGCTTTCCTCACACCGCTAGCATGAGGCAGCTTGCTCCACTTGCTCCTGCTCAGCTGCCTCCACTCACCTTCAGCATCCTTGCCCAATTTAATGAAGAAACCTTACAAAGCCTTGTCAACCCTTCACAAACTGCAGCAAACAGCAAAAGCAAAATACCTTCCTCATCCCTGATGGGTATTTCCAAGCAGACTTTCCTGTGGAAGGCTGAAAAGGCAGCTAGCTCCTGCACTGATTATTTCCCCAGACTCACTCAATCTCCTGCTCTAAGCCTGAAAGCCAAGCCCTGCTGCACCCACCTCCTCCAGTCTGCCTCTCCAGCTCCTCACCCACGCTGAGAGCAAGGCTGTTGCATCTCCCTGGCCCAGCCTGGCCAGGCAGAGCAGGAAAGCTGCAGTGCTACACTGCTTTCAGGTCTGTATCTTCCACTGGAGACTCCAAGGGTCCTCCTGGAAGATGCATTGCCCTCTGGTGCCACGGTCCTGCCTCCCACCCCGGGATCATGTATAACCTGCCCACTATGCCTCCATCCCGCTTCCCTCACAGCCCTCTTGCACCAGCACGTGATGCACTTTCTGGGCAATATGGCTTTAGATAGGTGGAAAGATGCGAGGCTGGAAGAGATTGCGGTCTTGTGGTTTTGAACCTGGCTCGCTCACCCTCCCCACTCGCAGGGGTGGGGGAGAGAATTAAAGGGGTGAAGGGAAAAGAGACTTGTGGGTTGAGATAAGAAGAAGCTCTGTCCCAGCTGAAACCAGGACAGGTTTATAAATACCCTGCCACGATTTTGTTTAATATTGTTGATAGTACTTGGTGCACAGAAGGACAGAAAAGGTGGGCTTTGACAATGAAGAGTGAGAGCGATGCTTGCTGTAGCTTGTCTAAGGGGGTGTAGCAGGGGACATTAATATCTCATGTTCACTGACAGTTTTTCCAAGCAATGGTATTTTACTCCTGCAACTCTTCTATTGATGTGTTTTCAGTAGTAGCTAGAAGACTTTTAATTGTATCTCTACAGTCATGATATTTCTAATAATTGGGGATTTTTGTGAAGATGTTTTCAGGGGCAACAGTTAAAACCTAAGTCTCATTCGTGCTAGATGTACATTAACACTGCTGCTAGGCCTGAGTAAATGCAGTCAAAACTCCTAGTCCTACAAACATTTACATTAATATCCTTTTGTGTAGTCCCACTTGTACAAAAAAATCAATCCAATACTCGCACACATTTTTCATCTGAGCTCATCAGTCCTTGTACATGTCATGTCATGATGCTGTATTGGGTCTGAATGGGATGAAGTTAATTTCCTTTGCAGCAGCCCATAGGG